CAAACAGTCTGTTACCCATTAGTCCCTCAAGGTTTTCGGAGGGCTCCATACCCGTCTGCATGGATCATCTTGCCGACTTACGCCAATTGTAGGGTCAGGAAGGACCATTGAGCAGGTTTTCTAATATCCAGAAGACCGGGTAAAGGAGGAGTCAGAGCCCTCAGTGGCTTTTTGCAGGCTTTTATTGGGGTTTACCAGGTACACAGCAGGCAGGGGTACTGGAGGGCCGGGAGGGTGGCAGGCCTCCCAGCCCCCAGCAAGTCTTCACTCTATCTGGGCACTCCGGCGTTCTCTCTCTCTTGGTTTCTGCTGCTGCTGGCATCCCTGTGACACTGCCCTTAAAAGTCCAGTCTCTCAGCCCAGGTGTACCCTCTTCAGGTGCCTGCCATCAGGCATGCATTCAGGACCACAGGGTTCCCTCATCTATCCTAATGGTGGGAGGGCAGAAAAGCCTGATACCTTTTACCTACCCTACAACCAGGTACACGGCAGGCAGGGGTGCTGGGGGGTCAGGAGGCTGGCAGGCCTCCCAGTCCCCGAGTCTTCACTCTATCTGGGTTCTCTGGCATTCTCTGGTGGTCTCTGCTTCTTTTGGTTCTGCTTTCTTCATGTCCCCGTGAAGCCGCCCTTATAAGCCCAGTCTTAGCCCAGGTGTACCCACTTATGCATGCCCACACCCTACTACAGGTGCCCATCATCAGGCGTGCATTCAGGACTGCAGGGATCCATCATCAATCCTAATGGTGGGAGAGCAGAAAAGCCTGATACTGGGCCTCCCTGGTGGCGCAGCAGTTGAGCGCTGGGTTGCGAAGCTGCCCGCAGCCTCTGCAGCACCAGTTCAATCGCCAGCTGCTCCACGGCCACCGGAGGAGGGTCCCACATGGCGCGCAGATCTCTCCTGCCGCCCGCTGCTCTCCTCAGCAGTGTACTTCGGTCCTTCTGCCTGCTCTGCTCCCTGCTCTGGCTCTGGTGAATTCTCTCACCCTCCCGCGCTTCTGACTGTACCCAGTTCTTGTATAAATAAAAATAAATCTTTAAAAAAAGAAAAGCCTGATACTTTTTTACCTTATCCTACACACACAATATTGAAATCAGACCAATTAATAATCCCACAATGGCTTTAAGTGTGAAGGTGAAGAGTTGCAGACCTCTCACGTCTATGAATGATTAAACTCTGTAAGGAAGGGATATCAAAAGTCATAATAGGCTAAAGCTGGGCCTCTGTACCAGTCAACCAAGTTAATGCAAAGGGAAAGTTGTTTTTTTTTTAAAGATTTTATTTATTTATACAAGCACTGGGTACAGTCAGAAGCGCAGGAGGGTGAGAGAATTCACCAGAGACTAGAGCAGGGAACAGAACAGGTAGACCGACGAAATACACTGCTGAGGGGAGCAGCGGGTATGGCAGGAGAGGTCTGCACGCCATGTGGGACCCTCGCCGGTGGCTGGGGATCGAACCGGTGCTGCAGAGGCTGTGGGCAGCTTCGCAGCCCAGCCCTCAACGGCTGCGCCACCAGGGGAGGCCCCAAAGGGAAAGTTCTTGAAGGAAATTAAAAGTGCTACTTCAGTGAACACACGTATAATGTATTCATAAACCAGTTTTGATATTTCTTTTTTTTTTAATTTTTTTTTTATAGAGGCATGTTTTTATTTATTTGTTTGTTTGTTTTATTTATACATGCACTGGGTCACCAGAGCCAGAGTGGGGAGCAGAGCAGGCAGAAGGACCGAAGTACACTGCTGAGGGGAGCAGCGGGCGGCAGGAGAGGTCTGCGCGCCATGTGGGACCCTCCTCTGGTGGCCGGGGAGCAGCAGGGGATTGAACCGGCGCCGCAGAGGCCGCGGGCAGCTTTGCAACCCAGCGCTCAACCGCTGTGCCACCGGGGAGGCCCAGTTTTGATATTTCTTATCAAAGAAATATCTTGATATTTCTTATCAAGTCTTATCCAGACCAAGGTTCTAACTCTCTTCAATTCTATGAAGGGTTGAGAGAAGAAAGCAAGGGCTGGTTAAAGAAAGGAAGCTGTCTCCATTACATAAATGCAAGTTTTTGGTAGGATTTAAATGATATAAATTCACTATTTTTACTGGGGAAAAACCACTTACTGTGATCACTGAAAATGAAAGACATTAGTACTATTATTAGATTTTATCATTTTGCAATACTAAATAACTGCACCAATACATAAAGTAAAATTATGTCAGAAACGGTATATAACTAACTCAGTCATTTTCAATTATGTACCCAAATCTCCAAAGTGGAGGCAGTGATTGTGGTGGTGCTGGAAGGACTAATAGGCTTTTAACTTAAGGAAGTGTTATCAGAATCTGATGACTGAGGTGAGGGAGTTTTACAAACTATAGATTCTCTCAATTCCTGTTGCACCAGCAATTGTTGCTGAGAGGAATGTGTGTTCTTCTTCAATCAACCGTGATGACGAAAGAATGAGAAGCATTCTTTTAAATTGGTCCAACAGCAGATCAAGCATATGCTGTGTTGACAGATCTTATAAAAGAAAAAAAAAAGGAAATTTGGCAATAATAAAAGTTATATTACTTTAGTTAGGCTGAGAGTAGCAAACATTGGGGAGTAAGGAGAGAGCTGGAAAAAATTCAAACTACTACACCACTGTAGTTTTTACTGGTTTCCTCTCCATTTGTTTCTGACTGGTTCCTTAGTGTCAGATCAGAAAATTAAAACACAGAGTAGAAGTGGGCAGGAATGGATGAACCTAAATGAGAATCTACAAATTGCTGAGAGGGAAAATGGAAGTCAATTTTTTTCAAACTTTTTTTTAAAAAAATATTTATTTATTTATACAAGCACTGGGTATAGTCAGAAGTGCGGGAGGGTCAGAGAATTCACCAGAGACAGAGCGGGGAACAGAACAGGCAGACTAAGGAAATACACTGCTGAGGGGAGCAGCGGGCGAGACAGGAGAGGTCTGCCTCGCCATGTGGGACACTTGCTGGCAGCCAGAGATTGACCAGGCGCTGCAGAGGCTGTGGGCAGCTTCGCAGCCCAACGCTCAACCACTGCGCCACCAGGGGAGGCCCTGAAGTCACATTTACAGGACAAGCAGTGCATCATTTTGACTGGAAGATGTGTCTGAATAGTTACAGGTCAGGGTGTAACTATAGAGAATTTTCAAAGTGTATGCTATTATGGGCAGAATGAGGCACTAAGTTTCTGAATAACAGTACATTATGTGGTTAAAGTGATACTCTTAGGAAGATTAACCAAAGGTTCCTAAACAGGATGAATTAAGTGACTGAAAACAGAGCCAGAGAAACCAAAGATGAATAATAAATTCAACTTCTTTGTTAAGGCAATTTCCCAGAGAAATCAGACAGCACTCAGAGGTGGAGAGAGAGAGAATTTACTTGTCACACCTGGGAGCTCAGTGGGATAGCTCCCAAAAGGCTGAGCATCCAAGAGTAAAAATGGCAGGGTTTTATACAGTTTGTATGAGGAAAATTGGTATCCCATCCATCACAGCATAAGCATTCTTTATTGTTCGGGAAGGGGGTTCAAGGTAGCCAGGGCTACCACTGCGAACAAGCAGTGCAGTACACCCAGCAACATCTCCACTTCAGCAACCAGCAGACTTGGGAAATTTCCTGCTTCATCTTGACATAACCCTACAAATCTAGAAGATTGATCCAATACAAATATTATTGGTCAATATTTAAATTTTAATTCACAAGTACTGGTTTTGTTATAGGGCAACCCCGATATAAAATAAAACGGGTTGCCTGGCTGTGGGTCCTCACCCGCGCGCTTAAAAGGGACTTATTAATACTCCACTACAGGCACACACAAAAGGTTAATAAAAGGTTTATTTACAAGGGAAAGGGAATTAAGGAAATGTATAACTCAGGGAGAAAATAGGGAAATAAAATCTTTAATGAGTCCTACCCGATCCGCAGACCTGGAAACCCAAAGGCACTCTCAGAGCTGGCCGAACTCTGCGAGCTGGCGGGGAGTCAAAATGGGGGATCTCCTCCAAAGCCCACGTATCTGGCTTTATACCACACCTGGCTGCTTAACCCCACCCTCAGGTTCCAGCCACCTTCCCTTTGGTGGTGATGGGATTTGGAGTTCCCAGTGTCTTTTGGCTTTGGTCTGGAGTCAGGGGTGGAGTCTACAAAGCCTGTATGGAATTAGCTTTAGGACATCCTTTTCCCCCTAACAGTTTCCTCTCATTTGTATCTTACTGGTTCCTTCAGTTTTTCATTACAAAGGTATAACCTAAAAAACATAAAATACTGCATTTGCCTTTCAAAAACATTCACAAGCTTATTCAAATTAAAATGTCCACGAGATATTTAAAAGTAGAGCTTTCTTACAATTTCAAAGGTTTCACGTTGCAATTTTATACCGAACTAAAGAATTTGACCTTTACCCTTTAACACATGAACATTTTAGAAAAAAGTCTTTTACTAAGTGCAGACTTCCAAGGTTTATATGATCATATAATAATGTTCCTACAGCGAATAGCAAAATTCGGAAATTATCAACTGTTTAACTTTCATGGTTGAGATTTTTGATTAAAAAGGTCTTCTATGAGGACTTTTCCAAGCTATACCAAGTACCAGCCGTAATGGTTTTCATCGTAAAGGTTAGCAATGATTGTTCCGGGTGAGTTAACTGGGCGTGCACTACCAGCAGAAGCGAGCAGCACTAGCACAGACGGGGCGAGCGGGAGGGCCCGCGCAGCGAGAACTCCGCAAGTCAAGCTAAGACACGCCCAGGCTCAGCGCCACTGTTCGTGCTCTGCCGGCGCGGGGTCCCAGTCGCCCGCCTCTGATACCTTCTGGCGCGCGCTGGGGATGGCGGCGAGGAAGGTGCACTGCCCACCCGTCGGTGGTCTTTCTCCGCGAGCTCTGACCCTGGTCCCGGGGAAAGAGCTGGGGCCGCCGGGGGGAGACCCCTCCCCGCCTCCCAGCGTCGGACGCGGAGGGCCTGGCTGGGGTTACGAGGAAGGGTTCGTCCCTACCTGTGCCAGGACGGTGAGACTGCCCTCGGACGCCGCGTTATTCACACGGCCGTGGTGCCACGCCACTCCTGCTCCTGCCAGGGCCACGCCGGCCACTGCTGCCGCCCAGGGGCCGGGGACCGGGAAGGCCCGCCGGCTGGCAGCGAAACCCCGGCGCAGGCTTCCGCCCCAGGCCGCCAGCCGAGCGCCTCGAGTCGCCGCCGCCGCCATCTTCGCGGAAGCGCCCCATCGTAGAGCCGGCTTCGTCTTGCTTCCCACGGGGGAAACTCCTAGCTCTCGCGCGTTCTTAGCTCTCGCGAGATCCAGGCAGCTACCTCCCGCAGCGACCCTTGCCTGGTCTCTAGTCTCACCTCATTCTATCGGGGCCGGTCAGGGGGACTTTGGGGAACGGGGTGCGTGGAAGAGAATCTGAACACAACCGTGCCAGGCCCCCCTAATCCGAGCGAAGGCTACCACTTTTTCTCCAAGAGAATCGTGTAATCCTGTGGGTCAGGAAGGGGGACTCCAGTGCTTGATGGGCGCTTGGGGTTCTGGAGAGGAAAGCACTGGGCGAGAGTGAGCTGGGCACTTCTCTTGGCAACTGTGATAGTGCATGTGATACGCCTTTCCAATGAGCATATTGAGAGGAATGCCACCCCTGAAGTGGTTGGAGCTTGGAATTGAAAAAAATCAGCATATTCCTGAAAACTAGATTTGCTCCAAATTCCCTACGTTTACCCACATTAAGAACAAAACTGTATTTAGATCATGCTATTCAGAAATCTACATAAGCTGCAGACATTTCTCACAGGCTATTTGAAGTAAAATCTTAGCTCGCTCAATATCTAGAAAGCAACTCTTGTTTTTTTAAAAACTGTTTTCCTAATTGTCTCACGTTAGCAGCTAAGGAAACTTAACATTTTATTTTTAAATTGTGGAAAGAAATACATAGCACTACCATTTGAGTCATTTTTAGATTTACAGCTCAGTGGCACTGATTACTTTCATGTACAACCATCACCACTGCAGAACTTTTTCATCTTATGAAACTGGAAAATTAAAAAAAAAAAAAGTTAATTTAGCTTACTCATCCTTTTTAATCCTCATGTTCTAGAGCACTTTTCGTTTCTGCTAAATCATATCCTTACTTTCGATGACATTTTCTTGGAACTCAGACTAATATACTCTTATAGGCAATCACTGTTTGCTGAATGATGAATTTAAACTCTGTCCCAATAATGTGTTTGATGGTATCTATTCCATTTGGGGACCAAGTCAGAAGTCCCCAACACACCTACCCCATGTTCCTATCATCAGGGCCCCACATGTTTTTCCTAGTGCCCATACCTCAGTGCTGGCAGTTCCATTGATTTTAAGAAATAATTTCACTGAGGCAGATGACTTTACCTCTTATCTGCTATTCTAGGCCTTTACTTTTCAGAATAAGTTTACTTAGTAAACTGTCAGTCTCTGAATTGTCCTTAGCCATTAAGCTTTACTTGAACATACAGTAACTTAGAGGCAAAGGCGAGGGTGCCAAGAGTCCTGAGCATAAAGTCATCATCACATTGAGGTTTTGTAAAACTAACCCCAAAATAAATAAATAAATAAAACATGCCCTACTAATTAATTTGACTATCTATTTCCTTGGGTCATTAGATCATGAGCAGCTCTTAGTTCTTACTTGGTTTTTCTTAACCACCTTGCCTTTATGTATCCATACTCTGAGCGTTCTCATGTTTTCCCGGCTTCGGAAACCACTTTCAATGTACCTTCTAGGCTGAAAGTAAAGTAATTGGGTCCCATTGTTGTGTAAGCAGGCAATAGGGTTTGAGTCTGGCTCTACCAGAATGATCACTGTGATTTGGGGGCAATTTACTTAATCTCCCTGAGTCTCCACGAGCAACCATGAGCAACTCTCTCATGGTTTGCAGTTGGAGGATTAAATGAGACATCCTATAGGATGCGACTACCACTGCCTGGCATGTGGTAGTGTTAACTACTCTTGTCACCTTCAAGATCTGGCGTATGCCTGCCCTCTCATCACAAATAAGCTCAACTGAATCTCTACTATTCCACAGCACCAGCCTGTCTAACCCCAGGTTTTCCTGCTTATTTGTATCTAGTTTGACCTTGTGGACCTCTGGCCAGTTTTTCAACTCTGCTAACTCTTGGCATATTCTTTTTTTGGCATATTTCTTTTTTAAATTATTGAGATCTAGCTTATTTCTGTCCCCTGGTGATTATAATACTTCTAGGTTTTGTTTTGCTATCCTGGATATATTACCTTATAGCTTATTCTTGATTTCCAAAATCCATGGTTAAAAGGATAGTGTATTGCTAAATTCCAATATCCTCCAACCATTTAATGAAACCCAACATCTATTACTTATGTCCCCAAGTTCCAAATAGGTTCATATTCTTATTAGATCATTTGGCATATTTAAAAACATTGTATTTCTTCCATATTTTGACATCCTTGTAGGTGAGAATATCTTATTTTTATGTTTCCTCAGCACCTAGCACAATGTCCAGTGTTCAATGAGTGAATAAGTAATTAAACAGATGACACAAATGAAACTCTTGGGAGCAGGAGAGAGGTGACTGTTTCCATTTCTTTGGACATACCAGCCCAAAAATCTCATTTTGAAATTAGTTCCGTTTGCTGAAAATCTTTGAACCTACTTGCTACTTGGAAAAATGTGCTTTGTAATTAAGAGAGTGTGTGTGTGTGTGTGTGTGTGTGTGTGTGTTTGTATTAATCCCCAGGCCTCTAAAAATGTCATTAAGATTCAATGTATTCAAACTTTTCTTTTACAGAGGAAACAAATTCTTATAATAGAACCAATCTCTAACCGACTAACCATTCTAAGTATGAAATCTTCCCTGGCAGCTGCTCACATTCATCTAAGCACATTACTATATTGGTCTATTTGGGCTCCAACTTTGCTCATTTCTTCATCACCAGCTGTAGAGACAGTCCTTGGCTGGTATGTATTTTCAACCATGTAGTTTATATCAATCCCCAAATAAGGAACTGCTTTAGGAAGCTATAAGGTCTATGCTGCGTTAAATGGTAATTAGAGAAAAACAATAGAAACACATATTTTCAAAATATCATTCTCCATTTATATTCTGTTTCATAAACGGAGACAAAAGCTATATGGAAGAAAAGGGGCTTTATTTGTACTGGAGAGACTTAAGCCTGAATTTCAAAACAATGCAAATTGATCTTAATTATTGTACTGCACAGAGGAGTTAGAGCAATCACAATGGTATCTAGAAAACAGGGAGATTTGATTTGGAATTTGGAATGTAAAAAAAAAAAATTGGGTAAGTTGAATCTGAGGGATACAGAAAGAACAATAGGGTTGAGCATGGATGAGAACTAGATGTGTGTGTTTATTTACATAGCTTGGAGCAGAAGACTGGGTGAGGACTGGTCTTGAGTAGCTTGGGGACCAAGGAAAATGCAATAATTTTCACCAATATATGGAGCAGTGGCTAGCGGTCTTGACCACTCTACAAGTTTGTCTTTGCAGCATTCCTGCTGTCTTTTAGCAATCTCTCACCCCTGTGTATGATCTTCTTTGTATATCAGATACCCTCCACACAGAGATTGCCATGTGTCTGTCCAAATTTTGTCCTGGCCTTTCTCACTCACTATCCCATGATTTCTCCAAATTATCTTATTTCCTACTGATACACATAACTTTGATTTTCCTTGGATTTCTAGTCTTGACAAAAGAAATCAGTTAGCTTTTCTTATTGAAAACATTCATTTTATCTTATTTTTAAAAGATGAGATTATTAATTCAAAAGTATCATTGATCTTAGCATGTTTAGGGAAGCTAAATAAAAATTACTATCCTGATTCTGAAGGTTATCATTATATTACAGAATAATGTGTGTTCAGATTAATTATCTTAGGTGGACAATTAAAAATGAGAGATCTCAAAAAATTAAAAGGTTCAACTGAATCCTACAGTGATGAAGGAAGCAGCAAATGAATGGATAGTATAAACAACCACTGCTTGTAATAGTCAGAGGTTAAGCTATATTTGTGGTGGATAATTGTGTAGCAGAGGATATGAATCACTCTTGAAGGCCCTAGATGAGTCGAAGAATTGCTAATTATGTCTTTTTTGTGTGTAGCTATGGGTAAAAATATCTGGGTATCATTATTGATACCAGCTTGTGTAAAAATAGGTCAAGATTAAATTTTATTGACAGTGAAGAAGGAGTGCCAAGAGTTGCATTTTCAATGTCTTTCAGTTCTTCCTCTGCCCTCACTTTCTTCCTGTCATCCACTTTAAGCTGTCATTACTGCACACTTTGATGATTGCAATCGTCTTTTCACACATAGCTCTTCCAATCTTCTTTTCCTATGAAGCATTCCAAAAATTTATGTCAGGTCAATCTTCCTAAAACATAATTTTTAACCTTACTTCCATTAGCGGTGTGATTTAACTTTCCCAAACCTGCATCTTGTTGGAAAATGAGATTAGTCTTTGTTTATTTTTCCAGTTTTAAAATTCTCATTGTCTGCCACTGCAAAGTGACTTTTTTTTTCATTCAACAGGCTGTACCAAGTGTGTAATATGTGCCAACTATACTGCCATACTTTGAGATGCAAAAACAAATAGAACAGCTCCCCTTCACATTGAATTATGCCTCAAATGCTTAAAACTTTGTATAGCATGTTGCCAGTTTGTGTATATTTCTTAAATCTACATATTTATAACTAGATGTTAAAAAACAATAAAAGTATAAATCATGAGAATAAGATGATCTCATTAAAATATTAAGATTTTTAGAAAGAATAAAGAATATATTTTTTATTTTTTATTTTTTTTAAGATTTATTTATTTATGCATACAAGAGCTGGGGTGTAGGCCAGAGGTGCAGGGGATGAGATGATTCCCCAGAGACAGAGTGGGGAGCAGAATAGGCAGACTGACTGAAATACACTACTGAGTGGGCAGAAGGCAAGACCGGAGAGATCTGCTGTGCCATGTGGGTAGCTCCCTGGTCTGGGATCTAACTTGTGCTGCAGTGGCTGCGGATAGCTTGTTAGTGCTGGGACTTAACCCCTTGTGCCACCAGGGAGGCACCAAGAGCAAAGAATTTTATAGAGAGCAAAACATTTCAGCTTTAGAAATAAAATTAAAATTTTATTTTATAAATACACCAGAGACAGAGTGGGGAATAGAACAGGCAGATAGACTGAAGTACACTGCTGAGGGGAGCAGT